AGAAAATAGGCAAAAACTGTCAAAATCAACTTAATTAGAACCCTGGAAAATAGTCAAAAGATTACATCAACCAAGCAAATTTGTAATAAAAAAAAAAGGAAACTGACATCTGGTACGAAAGCTTTGTGGCATTTTAACTTCCCTTTTCCCTCCCCCTCCCCTCACTGGCCCAGTAGCAGTCCTGAAGGTGGTTGCCTGCATTCCCAATACTGATGGTCAGAGACAGCGGAGCAAACCTAGCCCTCAAAGAATTGTTGACTGTTTGTTTTGACCTGTTTACGGGCTCCCTAAAGGACTAACACAAAAGGCTTGCCTTTACTTTGCCTAACTAGGAAATCCCTCAGGGAAGAGAAACAGCTGTGGGGAGAGGTGGGGGCACGTTATAAACGTTTAACAGCAAATGAACAAGCTGCTGCAGCTGGAAAAAAAGATATCAGTTGGTGAAAATAACAGACATGCCAACGAGCCTTGGAGGAAAAGCTGGGGAGTGAGACGCTTTGGGAAATAAGGGCACGGAAAAGTTTCCATATATTCCTGGAGACTGAGAAAGCCACGTCCAAGTCCAGGATAGGAAAATGCTTAGAAAACACCTGAGAAGACTAAGCTTTCACCTCTGGCTGACCTTCACACTCTGTGTAAGCAGGAAGTGAAGGAGAAGGCAGAGTTGGATACTGCCTGGCTGAGTGTTGAAATTATGTGCCAGCACACACAGAAGCCTAGCTACAAACACTTAGTGTCTTAGTTATCCAGTGCTGCTGTAACAGAAATACCACAAGCGGATGGCTTTAACAAACAGAAGTTTATTCTCTCACAGTCTAGTAGGCTGGAAGCCCAAATTGAGGGCATAAAAAGCTCCAGGGGAAGGCTTTCTCTGTTGGCTCTGGAGGAAGGTCTTTGTCATCAATCTTCCCCTGGACTAGGTGCTTCTCTGCACAGGAACTCCAAGTCCAAAGGAAGTGCTCTGCTCCTGGCACTGCTTTCTTGGTGGTATGAGATGCTCCCTCTCCTTTCCTTTTATGTCTTGTAAGATAAAAAGTGGTGCAGGCCACATCTCAGGGAAACTCCTTTACATTCAATCAGGGATATGATCTGAGCAAGGGTGTTTCATCCTACCCTAATCCTCTTTAACATAATCTAATCTTGCCTCATTAGCCACAGGCAGAGATTAGGATGTACAACACACAGGAAAATTACAATCACAAAATGGAGGACAACCACATAATATTGGGAATCATGGCCTAACCAAGATGACACATATTTTCAGACGACACAATGTAATCCATGACACTTAATGACTTTTTATTTGTTTGTTTCCAGCAGTTTAAGGGTATCCTTATCAAATCACTAGCTGACCATTAAGCTAACAGAACACAGACATCAGTTTCCACACATGACAAAGAATACAATCCCTACAGAAAAAGTTTAGAAAAGTCACTAAACAAAAAACTACAACTCATAACAAGCAGCAACAACAAATCCTGAGGAAGGGGTTTTCTGCATGAAAGTCAAGAATTTTACTGCTCAACCACCACTGCCCCCATATAATAGTTAAAGAGATTAAATCTGTAATCAAAAACATCTCAGCGAAGAAAATCCGAGGACCAGACTGCTCCACTGGTGAATTATAACATTTAAAAATGAATCAACACAAATTCTTCTCAAACTTTTCCAAAATACAGAAAAAAAAGGAACACTTCTCAACTCAAAACCAGCAATAGCGTGACACCAAAGCTAGACAGGCATCGGAAGAAAACTACAGACCGATATCCCTTATAAATATAGAAGCAAAAATCCTTGAAAAAATACCAGAAAATAGAGCCCAGCAGCATATAAAAAGATTATACAACACAACCAATTGGGATTTACCCTAGGAATGCAAGATGGTTCAACATTAGAAAATCAATCAGCATAATACACACTGATAGAACAAAGGAAAAGAATCACATGCTCATCTCGATGCAAAATAAGCATTTGACAAACCCAACACGCTTTCATGATAAAAACACTCAAATGAGGAAAAGAAGGGAACTTCTTCAATCTGATGAAGGGTATCTTAAAAAAAAACAGTTATTATCATACTCAGTGATAAAAATGGAAGATTTCCTCGTAAGATCAGGAACAAGACAAGGATGCCAGCTCTAGCCATTTCTATTCAACATTGTACTGGAAGTTCTTACAGGAGCAATTTGGCAAAAAAAAAGAAAAAAGAAAGGCATTCAACTGGAAAGGAAGAAGTGAAAGTATTTCTATTTGCAGGTGACGGAGTAATTTTACATAAAGAAAACCTTACTGAATCTACAAAAAATCCTTAATTAGAGCTAATAAATGAGTTCAGCAAAGTTGAAGGATACAAGATCAATACCCAAAAATTAGTTGTACTGCTATACTCTAGCAATAAACAAGGAGCCCCGGTGGTGCAGGGGTTCAGCATTTGGTTGCTAACCAAAAGGTCAGCCGTTTGAACACACCCGCTGCTCCTTGGGAGAAAGATGTGGCAGTCTGCTTCCATAAAGGTTACAGTCCTGGAATCCCCATGGGGTGGTTCTACCCTGTCCTATAGGGTCGGTATAAGTCAAAGTCAACTTGCTGGCAACAGACTTGGTTTGGTTTGATTTAGCAATAAACAACCTGAAAAGAAAATTAAGAATACAATTCCCTTTACAACTTCATCACAAGGAATAAAATACTGAAGAATAAATTTAACCAAAGAGGTGTAAAGCCTGTACACTGAAAACTACAAAACACTGCTGAAAGAAATTAAAGAAGTGGAAATATAAGTGTAAAGAGATCTTGTGTTCATGAATTGTAAGACTTAATATTGTTAAGATGACAGCACTTCCCAAAATGACACAGATTTAACAAAATCCCTATGAAAAAACCCAGTGGAATATTTTGCAGACAAGGAAAAGCCAGGCCTAATATTCATATGGAATTGCAAAGGACTCCAAATAGTCAAAATAATTTTCAAAATGAAGAGGAAAGTTGGAGAACTCACAGTTGCAAATTTCAAAACTTACTTCAAGGCAACAATAATCAAAACAATGTGGTACTGGCACAAGGACAGGCATACAGATTAATGGTGTAGAATCGAGTCTAGTAAGAAAGAAACCCATACATCTTGAGTCAATTGGTTTTTGACAAGGGTGGCAAAACCACTCAACAGAGAAAGAATGGTCTTTACAACAAATAGTGCTGGGACAACTGGATAGCTACATTCAAAAAAATGAAGATGAACCTTTACCCCACACCATATATAAACATTAACTAAAAATGGATCAAAGACCTAAATACAGGAGCTAAATCTATAAAACTCTCAGAAGAAAAAGGGGGTAAATCTTCATGATCTTGGATTTGGCAATAGTTTCTCAGATATGACATCAAAAGAACAAGTAACAAAAAAGTAAAAATTGATTAAGTGGACTTCATTGAAATTTAAAACTTTTGTGCAACAAATGCACTATCAAGGGAGTAAAAAGACAAACCACAGAAAAGGTGAAAAAATTTGAATATCTGATAAGGTTATTATATATGTCCAGAATACATAAAGAACAGTTACAAATAAACAACAAAAAAGACAAGCAATTCAATTAAAACATGTACAAAAGACTTGAATAGACATTTCTCCAAAGAAGATAGACAAATGGCCAATAATCATATGAAAGATGCTCAACATCATTAGTCATTAGTGAAATGCAAATCAAATCCACAACAAGCTACTGCTTCACACCCTCTGTTGTTGTTGTGTGCCCTCAAGTCAATTCCAACTCACAGCCATCTACAGGACAGAGTAGAATTGCCCCATAGGGTTTCCTAGGCTGTAATCTTTACAGGAACAGATAACCATATCTCTTTTCCTGCAGAGCCATTGGTGGGTTCAAACCACTGACCTTTCAGTTAGCAGCCAAGCCCTTAACCACTGTACAACCAAGGCTCCTTTCACACCATTCACTAGGATGGCTATGCATTACCAAGGGGGTGGGGGGGGGGGGGGAGGGGCAGGAAAATAACAAGTGTTGACAAGCATGTGGAGAAACTGAAACTCTCATATTTGCTGTTGATAAAATGTAAAACAGTGCAACAGCCTTGAGAATAGTTTGGTGATTCTTTGATAGTTAAATATAGATTACCATAGGATCTAGCAATTCTGCTCCTAGGTATATATCCCAAAGAATTGAAAACAGGTATTCAACAAAAAACTTGTATACAAATGCCCATAGCAGCACTATTTACAAAAGTCAAAAAGTAAAAACAACCCAAATGCCCTACAAGTAATGATTAGATAAATAAAACATGGCATATATGCAGACCTAAGGTTATTAGTGGCTACGGGGGCAGGGGGGGGTGAGGGGTGGGAGGTGGGGGTGGGTGGGAGGACTTAAGGGAACTCACTGTTTAAAAGACACTATTAAGGGTGTTGGAAAAACTGGAAACAGATAACGGTAATAGTTGCACAATGTGATGAATGCTGAAATAGAAAATGTTTTATTACAAACATATTTATCACAAAAAATGTGTATACTCATACAATGGAATATTACTCAGCCATAAAAAAGGAATTAAGTATTGCAACATGCTACAACATGGATGAACCTTGAAAATATTATGCTGAGTACAGGAAGTTAGACACAAAAGGCCAGATACTATATGATTCCAATATCTAAAATATCTAGAATAGACAAATCCATAGAAACAGAAAAGCAGATTAGCGGTTGCCAGTGGCTGGGGGTAGGGAGAAATGGGGAATGACTGCATAACGGGTACAAGGTTTCCTTTTGGGGTTAGGAAAATGTCCTGGAACTAGAGAGTGGTAATGGTTCTAAAACATTGTGAATGTACTAAATGATATGGAATCATATACGTTAAAATGGTAAATTTTGTTACGTATATTTTACCACAATTTTAAAACAAGTCTGTGTACACTTTTTCTTCTCTCATTTATCAAATGAGAATCAGAGGTGGACAAAAATACACAAAAAAAACATGGAATATGTGCCACATACCTGTTAACGCCGCTGGTTTGGACAGTGTACTATATTGGTTTGGCGTAGATATCATACTTTGACGTGGACTTAGTGTTGGTGATGTAACAAGTGAAAGCTCCTCAATTATAATACTGCTTTTCGGATGATTCTTGGGAAGTTCATTTAATCTTTGCTCCAATGAATACTTTAAAAGGTCCAATTTCTGACTTGATTCATTAAATCTTGCCTGAGCCTTGAACAGGAAAGACAATTGTTACCATTTAAATAATCACATTCTTTGAATAATGTATTTACTAAACAAGTTAAAAATTTTATTTAAAATTACTTCTGAAAGTGCTTTTCTGTCTGTTACTTTTCCTGAGCCAAGTAATTTCATCACATTCTTTGCACCTTCTGCTACTGCAAATTCTATCTTAAAATGATGCCTTAATTCTTCCATACGAAGCTCAAGAGGACTTATGACAGGTTTTGCTAGAGGAGGGAAGAAAAAAAAATCTTAATTGAACCATTTATTTGACTTTCTAATATGCAGTGATTAGAAATAACAAAAAATAAATGAATTCTTATGACATGAATATGAAAGTTAGTCCTTTAAGCAACAAACACTGAAACAGTATTTAACAGATACAATGCTGAAATTCAGAGCTTCCCATTTTAGCCATCATATATCTAAATTAAAAATCTAAAAAATTAAATAAATTATAACCACAGGTAAGCCAATATATCCATATATTGAAACATCATATAAGACCGAAAAATAGTTCCTACTCCTACTTTAGCAACCAGCTGTAAAGTTTCCATTTGGAATTTAAAAAACAAAAAATCATACTCTTATAAACAGACAACAGATTTTTTAAAAAATAAAGCATCAATTAAAAGTATCTAAAAGTCTATTAAAATGAAGAAATACATTCCAGATCCATAACTTCTTGAAATATGAGGAGCAAATATTTGAAGGTATACATCTCATGTAAAGAGTGTAAAACTCAATTCAAAAAACATAATGCCTCCTTCCCTTTAATTCTGAACCACTGCCTCTTTCTCACATGAGATTTGTTTAGCACCATACATCCATCCTAACACAAGCCTATCTGACAGTGACATAAACAAGAAAAATGGCAATTTATTTCATCACCATTATCAAAAGCCAACTCAGTGGTCTGGACTGCTTGAAGAATCTGCATTCTAATGACTTCTATTTTTGTCTTGCTGTCCTGAAGCAGTTGCTGAGCTGTACCATGGAGTTTCCGATCCTATTAAAAAAAGTTTGAAAATATAAGCATGTAGTCAAAGAAAATATTTTCATAGCTTCTAAATAAGATTTAAAAAAAAAAAAGCAACAAGTGAAAAAAATAAAAATAAAAAACCAAAAATGAATACTCCAAGCATTATAGTATACCTTGTAGCTTGTAGCTACATTTACAGAAAAAAAGCCATCAAACTTATAGGGTAAGAAATGAGGGGAAAAAAAAACTCAATTAGTTAAGAAAATTTGAGACAGCAAATTAAAAAAAACCAACAGCAAACAAGTCCAAATTTACATTTGTAACTTTCTCTTGCCATTTCTTTCCATAAAATATAAAGACTTTTCCTTGACCATGATCAATAACTCTCATGCTCAGAAGTATAGCATGTGATGCGTGCCTAAGTGACTAAGCCTAAAATATTTAAATAATCTCTTCCTTTCTTACTACATTTCATCTAAATCTTTAGGAAGCTCACGTGCATGGGAAAATTTAAAAAATAGCTAATCACAGGTTGTATTTGTGTTACCTTAAATTCTGATAAAGGAAGATTTGTAAACATGGATGATAATACGATTTTGATAGTCCTTAGAAAATCCTGAATGTCAAAAAAAAAAAAAAAAGATCTCAATAAAACTAGGGAAGAAGTTATACAGAATAAACTTTAGCCATCTCTTAAGACTTGAAGAAAGATTCTGAAATAAGTGAAATGTTGTTGTACCTCAGTTTAGTTCTAGTAACATCGAATGTGACTGACAGAAAATCACACACAAAAAAGACCATTTTAGGAGTTGTGGCAGGCAGAATAATGTTGTCATTGTTGTTATGTGCTGTCAAGTTGGTTCCAACTCACAGCAACCTTATGGACAATAGAACAAAATGCTGCCCAGTCCTGTGCCATCTTCACAATTGTTTCTGTGTTTGAGTCCATTGTTGCAGCCACTGTGTCAGTCCATCTCGTTAAGGATCTTCCTCTTTTTCACTGACCCTCTACTTTACCAAGCATGATGTCGTTCTCCAGGGACTGATTCCTCCTGATCACATGTCCAAAGTACAAAAAACGAAGTCTCGCCATCCTCGCTTACAAGGAGCATTCTGGCTGTACTTCTTCCAAGACAGATTTGTTCATTCTTCTGGAAGTTCATGATATATTCAATATTCTTCGCCAACACCGAAATTCAAATGCATCAATTCTTCTTTGGTCTTCCTTATTCATCGTCCAGCTTTAGTATGCATACGAGGCAACTAAAAATACCATTGCTTGGGTCAGGCACACCTTAGTCCTCAGAGTGACATCTTTGCTTTTTAACACTGTAAAGAGGTCTTTTGCAGCACGTGTGCCCAGTGCAATGTGTCATTTGATTTCTTGACGGCTGCTTCTATGTGTCGATGAATGAGATGGATTGACACAATGGCTGCAACAATGAGCTCAAGCATAACAAAAATTGTGAGGATGGCGCAGGACTGGGCAGTGTTTCTTCTGTTGTACATAGGGTCACTATGAGTCGGAACCGACTAGACGGCATCTAACAACAATAACAGCTTCCATGGGTGTTAACTGTGGATCCAAATAAAATGAAATCGTTGACGTCAGTATTTTCTCCATTTATCACGATATCAGAGACTTGTGGCGCTGTGGTCAACAGCTTGGCTGCCAACCAAAAGGTCAACAGTTCAAATCCACCAGCTGCTCCTTGGAAACCCTATGGGGCAGTTTTACTCTGCCCTATAGGGTTGCTATGAACAGGAATTGACTCAGTGGCAACAAGTTTGGTGTTTGTTTTTTTATCATGATATTGCTTATTGGTACAGTTGAGAGGATTTTTGTTTTATGTTGAGGTATAATCCATACTGAAGGCTGTAGTCTTTGATCTTCATCAGTAAGTTCTTCAAGCCCTCTTTACTTTCAGCAAGCAAAGTTGTGTCATCTGCATATCGCAAGCAGTTAACGAGTCTTCCTCCAATCCTGATGCCACATTCTTCTTCATGTAGTCCAGCTTCTCTGATTATTTGTTCAGCATACAGACTGAGTAAGTATGGTCTAAAGGACACAACCCTCATGCACACCTGTCCTGATTTAAAACCGTGCGGTATCCCTTTGTTCTGTTCAAGACTATAACCTACAAACAGTGAGTCACAAAAATTACCCTAGCGGTTAGATAGTGCATTACTAAAGTAAACAATTATATTGCATTATTAGATTTCACCTGGTTGCCAACCTTTCAGGTTAATATAATATAAACTGCACATCTTTAAAACACTGTATAAATAAAAGCTGCTGCTGCAAACTGATATTCACTTGTATGTTAAGGTAGATTTATGCGTAACTCATCAGATGTATGCCTCTGTGCAGTCAATAAAACACAGGTAAACATCTTTCTGGTATTCTCTGCTTTCAGCCAAGATCCATCTGACATCAACAATGATATCCCTGGTTCCACATCCTCTTCTGAAGCTGCCTTAAATTTCTGGCAGTTTCCTGTACTGCTGCAAAAGTTTTTGAATTATCTTCAGCAAAATTTTACTTGTGTGTGATATTGAGGATACTGTTTGATAATTTCTGCATTCTGTTGAATCACTTTTATTTGGAATGGGCATGCATATGGATCTCTTCTAGTCAGCTGGTCAGGAAGCTGTCTTCAAAATAATACCATCCCCTAAAAGATGTCTGTGCCCTATTCCCAGGAACCTATGAATATGCTACCTTACATGGCAAAAGGAAATTAAAGTAGCAAATGAATTATGGTTGTTAGTTTACTGTCCTTAAAATACAGAGTATTGTGCATTATCTGGGTGGACCTAATATAATGTTAAGGTCCTTAAATGTGAAAAGGGGAAGGCAGAACAGGAGGTCAGAGGAATGTGATCTAAGAAGAACCAGCTGCTGATGGCTTTGAAGATAGAGGAAGAGGGCCATAAGCCAAGGAATGTGGGCAGCGTCTAGAAGCTGGAAAGAGCAAGGAAACAGATTCTCCCCTAAAGCCTCCAGAAGGAAATACAGTCCTGCTGACACCACGATTTTAGCCCAGTGAAACTATTTCAGACTCAACTACAAAACCAGTGTTGGCATGCTGTCAAGTCGATTCTTACTCAGTGACCCTATATGACAGAGTAGAGCTGCCCCCATAGTGCTTCCTAGGCTATAATCTTTATGGGAATAGATCACCAGGTCTCTTCTCCTGTGGAGCTGCTGGTGGGTTTGAACCACAGACCTTTCGCTTAGCAGCTGAGCGCTTAATCACTGCTCCACCAGGGCTTCTTAATTACAAAGCTGAAACATAACAAATTTATGTTGTTTTAAGCTACTAAGTTTGTGATAATTTGTTACAGGAGTCACAGAAAACTTATACAGGAATAAAGAAAAAATTTCATATAAGTGTCAGAAGTTAATGCCATCTCTTGCTTTGAGAGTTAGAAGCTGTCAAAGTCTGACAAAAAATAAATGACATACAAAATTAAGCATCAAATTCTAAAACCAAACCAAACCCACTGCTGTTGAGTCAATTCCAATTCATAGTGACCCTACAGGACAGAGCAAAATTGCCCCATAGGGTTTCCAAGGGGGGATGGTAGATTTGAACTGTCGACCTTTTGGTTAGCAGCCGAGCTGTTAACCACTGCACCACAAGGACTCCAGCATCAAATCAGGTAGTACTTGTTAACAAGATAGGTCAATTTTTGCATATTATTTAGGTACTTATACTTATCACTAAGGTGTCGTTATTGTTAACTGCCACTGAGTTGATTTCCAACTCATGGTGACCCTATGCACAATGGAACAAAATACTGCCAGGTCCTGCACCATTTCTACGATCAGTTGGGTACTGAACCATTGAAATCCATAGGGTTTCACTGGCTGCTTTTTGGAAGTAAAGCACCAAGCTTTCTTCCTAGTCTATCTCAGTCTAGAAGCTCTGCTGAAACCTGTTCAGTAGCATAGCAACACACAAGCCTCCACTGGTGGTAGTTGCCCGTGAGGCGCATTGGCCGGCAATCAAATCTGAGTCTCTTGCTCAGGGTGCAAGAATTCTACCACTGAACCACACACTGCTGCCCGTTTATCACTAAGGTAAAAACTAGTTGCCATCAAGTCGATTCTGACTCTTGGCAACCTCACGTATGTCAGAGTAGAACTGTGTTCCATAGGGTTTTCAATGACTGATTTTGTGGAAGTAGACTGCCAGACCTTTCTTCAGAGAGGCTTCTTGGTATGTACTCCAACTTCCAACCTTTTGTTTAACAGCAAGCACATTACCTGCTTGTAACACTGAGAAACTCCATCATTAAGGTAGCCAGTACTAATGTGAAAATAAAACAGCATTCAATCACCTACATTCTCTATAAGATTCAAGACTAGAACCTAAGAGACAATCATCAGGCAGGTAGCTTCATTTCAATAAATCAAACACACGCACAGGACACAGAATAAAGGACTGGAGATATGTATGGAAGGAACACAATATTGCTCTTATGTAAAGGAAAAAGAAAGTGTTCTGAAATACATTCTGTTACAGTACCAAACTCAGGTTAATATACAGTGGAATAAAAAGCAACAAGCAAATTTATTAATTTTTCTTCCATTTCTTTCCTGCCCCTAAGGTAGGTTAATCATTTAAGAAGCTTCTAGCCAGATTTCGTTCTTCCATAAATAAACGTACACAGATTTCACACCAAGGAGACAGGCTCATATAGTTTACACTAAATCCCTTAATTATCAATTTACACTATGAAGAACACACCAAAAAAAAAAAAAAATGCTAATTATGCTTTAGCAATAAGGATACTAACTTGAATTTGATGTTTGTCTATGACATACTACACACTTTTATGAATTCACCTTACAAATTTAAAATGAAAATACTTTTTCTTACTCTAATCCTTCTATTTATCTAATATTAGGAGCATCAGACAATCTGAAGATTTGAAATAAATTTTCTACGTCTTTGAGAACAGACCAGAGTAAGGAAAAACTTAGTATTCCAATGCTTATGTGAGAGGCCAAATATTTT